ACAGAGTGTGACGGGCGGCACCCCAGCTCTGCAGCCGAGTCATGTGAACCCCCACAGAGTGTGACAAGCAGGACCCTAGCTCTGTAGCTGAGTAACATGCACCCATAGAGTGTGACAGGCAGGATCCACGCTCTGTGGCTGTGTAACATGCACTCCCACAGAATAACAGGCAGGACCCCAGCTCTGTAGCTGAGTAACACGCATGCATAGAGTGTAACAGGCAGCACCCCAGCTCTGTAGCTGGGGTAACATGTATGCCACTAGGTTGTAATAGGCAGGACCCCCACTCTGTAGCTGGGTAACATGCACCCCCATAGAGTGTAACAGGTGGACCCCCACTCTGTAGCTGGGTAACATGCACCCCCATAGAGTGTAATAGGCAGGACCCCCACTCTGTAGCTGGGTAACACACACCCCCATAGAGTGTAGTAGGCAGGACCCCCACTCTGTAGCTGTGTAACATACACCCATAGAGTGTGGCAGGCAGGACCCCAGCTCTGTAGCTGGGTAACACGCATGCATAGAGTGTAAGAGGCAGTACCACAGCTCTGTAGCTATGTAACATGCATGCCCCTAGATTGTAGCAGGCAGGACCCCCACTCTGTAGCTGGGTAACACACACCCCCATAGAGTATAACAGGACCCCTACTCTGTAGCTGTGTAACACGCACCCCATAGAAGAAGAGGCAGGACCGCAGCCTCTTCCCGGCCCTGGCTGTGTGTTTCTCTCTGACCCCAAGTCTTCCCGGTGCAGATTGTCAGCAGATGTTGCTTTTGTCTTGCAGGAACAGCAGGCGGTCATGGCGGAGGGAGCCAGGGGAAAGAAGGGGAGCAGGGTAGGTGCCCCTGGTTTCTGCCTTCTTTCTTCTTGTCTCTCCTACATGGTGTTGAGAAGGGGAAGCAGAATGTCTGAGAGCAGACGGGCTGCATGGGCATCGGCCTCCTGAAGGTACTGGCGGCAGGCACGGGTGTTCTGTGCCAAGCACTCCCCTGATGACGCAGCTGCACAGGTCCCCCCAGCAAACCAGCCCAGCTCTAGGTGCCCAAGTGAGCCAGATTTTCAGTTCCGTCACCTGCTCCCACGATGCCCTGGCTGGCGATCTGACGCTCAGCCTTGTCCTTGTGATTAAGGACCCACACTCATCCTAGGGATGGGAAATGTGAGACGCCCTCTCCTGGGTTGCACTGGGTCCTCGAGAACGCTAGTGACCAGGTGGGAGGTGGAGATGGGGGTCGCTCCCATGCTGGCTGTAAGAGGCATTGTGTTCTCCATGGCAGTGCCAGGGAGGTATCTCCTGCCTCCTTTTTCATAACCCTTTCCCTTAGATGGGACAAGAACATGACAGAAAGAATTGCCTTTATACCTGCAAAGAAAAAAAATGAGGTCAGAAAGAGACAGAAAGAGAGAAGTAGGCAGGAAGAATAAAAGGAAGGAAGGAAGGAAAGATGGAAGGAGGGATGGAGAGAAGGAAGAAGGGAGGGAGGGAGGGAGGAAGGAAGGAAAAGAGGGAGGGAAAGAAGGAAGGAAGGAAGTCGGAAAGGGAGAAACAGAAGAAAAGGAAGGAAAAGGGGAAAGAGAGGAAGAGAGACGAGAGAGGGAGGGGCGTGGACAGTAGCTTTGTATTTGAGTATCTCGTGCCTAAAATTTTCAGGGACTTTGCATCCAACAAAATCTCTAGTTTTAAGCAACGTCCTGGGCAGAAGAGATACTAATTTGGCCAAAGACTTTAACACCTGTGTGCCATTTGAATCAGCGTTAAAATGCGGATTCTTAAAATACCCAACGAATGTTTTTGGAAAAAGAAAAATGCCCAAAGCAAGGTAGTCTACCCTTGCTTTGGGTATTTGTTATTTTTACAGATACAGTTCTTGGATTCTAGGCTTTCTTTCAAGAGGTAGTAATCTGTCTGTAGCCCTCACCTAGGACTGCAAAGGTCACGAGAAACAGTTGCTAAGAAAACATACGTCAGGCATGTTTATTTCAGGCTGTCATTCTTGGCCTTCTAGAGAGTTAATGTTTAATTTGTCACTTCATCAGGGAGGGGTAGTTAGGTTGGAAAAATCTTTCCATGACTGTTTTCTGCACACATTGAAGACTGGTCGATTGAAGACACTGCCCACAGGCCATGTTCCTGGAAGTCAGACAATTCTCCTGCCCCTCGTGGAGGGCGGAGAAGATTCTGTCTGGAGAAGGGGCCTCTAAAGCTCACATGTGGCATATGGAATTAAGAACCTCTTCATTGGCCGGATGTGGTGGCTCACACCTGCCATCCCAGCACTTTGGGAGGCTGAGTTGTGAGGATCACTTGAGGTCAAGAGTTCGAGACCAGCCTGGCTAACATGGCGAAACCCCGTCTTTATTAAAAATACAAAAATCAGCCAGGGGTGGTGGCACGCTCCTGTAATCCCAGCTACTTGGGAGACACAAGGATCGCTTGAACCCAGAAGGCAGAGGCTCCAGTGAGCTGAAATAATGCCACTGCACCCCAGCCTGGGTGACAGCTTGGGGTAAGACTCCATTAAAAAAAAAAATGAGCCAGGCATGGTGGTACACACCTATACTCCCAGCTACTTGGGAAGTTGAGGCAAGAGAATAGCTTGAACCTGGGAGGCAGAGGTTGCAGTGAGCCAAGAGTGGACCACTGCACTCCAGCCTGGGTGACAGAGCAAGACTCAGTCTCCCAAAAACAAAACAAAAAACAATTATTGCTGGAATGACATTTAAAAAATAGGCTGGGTGTGGTGGCTCATGCTTGTAGTCCCAGCATTTTGGGAGGCTGAGGCAGGCAGGTTGCTTTAGGCTGGGAGTTCGAGATCAGACTGGGCAACATAGCAAGACCCCAGTTCTACAAATCACAATAATTAACCAGGCATGGTGGTGCACACCTGTAGTCCCAGCTACCCGGAAGGTTGAAGTGGGAGGATCTCATGAGCCTAGGAGTTTGAGGTTGCGGTGAGCTATGATTGCACAACTGCACTCCAGCCTGTGCGACAGAGCAGGAACCCATCTCAAAATAATAACAATAATAATAATAAAATAGATAGAGGTGGATTTAAAATGTTTGCATGTAAACCCAAAGTCACTTTCGGGGGGTAAAAAAGGAGCATTCTAACGGCACAAAACGTTATCACAATGCAGCAAGCATCGCAGGTCTTTTCTTCATCTCCTGCCCCTACCTGGCTCTCCTCCTGCTTAGATGCCCACCTCTCTCTCTCTTTCTTTCTTTTTTTTTTTTTTTCTTGATGGTGAATTGCCATGTCACCCAGGCTGGAGTGCAGTAGTTCGATCTTGGCTCACTGCAACCTCCAGCTCCTAGCTCCTGGGTTCAGCGATTCTCCTGCCTCAGCCTCCCGAGTAGCTGGGACTACAGGCGCCTGCCACCACGCCTGGCTAATTTTTGTATTTTTAGTAGAGACAGGGTTTCTCCATGTTGGCCAGATAGGTCTCCAACTCCTGACCTCAGGTGATCCTCCCGCCTTGGCCTCCCAAAGTGCTGGGATGACAGGTGTGAGCCACCGTGCCCGGCCCCAGCTCTCCCTTTCCATATGTCTTCATCTTTCTTTGTCCCTGCCTTGGTTCTGGCGAGCTTCTGCCTGCACCTCGCTGGCCTCTTTTCATGTCTGTTTTCTCCCCGCTGCACTCGGCCCAGGTGTGTCCACCACGAGTGGCGACCGGCGACTGTGCACTGCTTTGAGTCTCCGTGTGCCATTCCCAGCATGCTCCCTTTGCAGATCAGTCAGCTCAGGCATCTCACGTGTTTTGAGGTTCTTGGTGCTCTTGGACTGACTGACTGTGCCAGCAAGCACCTGCTGGGATCTCCTCTGCACCTTACGTGTCTCAATCCCAATGCCATGTGCTTCCTCCTGCAGCCGATGCCCCAGGCGTGATCCCCGGGATCGTGGGGGCCATCGTGGTCGCCGTGGCCGGAGCCATCTCCAGCTTCATTGCTTACCAGAAAAAGAAGCTGTGCTTCAAAGAAAACGGTAAGGCTCACTCAGCTGGCGCCTCTCCTTCATACCTTGCCGATTTGAAATTGTGCTTTCTTTAAAAGGCAGAAGCAAAACTCGGGCTGGCCAGAAACAGGTGCACAATGGCTGATCGTGTGTGAAACCGCGGAAACTCTGGAATCGCACCTTCTGGCTTCGATTCCAGGGCTGTTCTGCGTTGTGTTGTGTTGTGTGAAAGTCTGCGAGTTCCTGACTGCTGCAGAGCTTGGGTTTTACATGTGGAAAGTGGGAAACGGTTGGTATACACGCTGCAGAATTGTTGTGAGGGTTAGAGACGACCCTGCAGGAAAGCCTCAACCGGTTGCCCTGCAAAGAGGAAGGCGGAAGACATTTAGCTCCTGTGGTTCCTGCCATGTTATTTACAATTGATGTCATCGTTACGAGGAGAACCGTGCCCACGGGGCCGCCATGGTCCTCTCCCCGCCTAGGAGAGTTGAGTTCAAACCCAGCACAGCGGAGTCCCTTTCTGTTAGTACTGAAAACCCACAGGTACCTGGGACCTGGGAAGTTGGAGGTCCATTCACGATTGCAATCCTCCTAGGTCAATCGGCAGGCTCCTTGGGACTTTGTATTCAAAAGTCCCTAAATCATTTAGGGTCCGCTGTGAAGTCAGTAAGCGCCGGTTTTTTGAACATAGCTAGCGTGCATGCATCACTGGGCTTTTGGATTTAGGGCGTGCCTTCTCTCTTGCATGACTAAGCAGTGTGGTTTGCAGGGATCCCCTGGACCAGGGATGGCTACTCTTAGTTTTTATTTTTATTTTTTTTTTGACGCAGAGTTTCACTTTGTCGCCCAGGCTGGAGTGAAGGGGTGCAGTCTCGACTCACTGCAACCTCCACCCGCTGGGTTCAAGTGATTCTCCTGCCTCAGCCTCCCAAGTAGCTGAGATTATAGTTGCCTGCCACCACGCCCACCTAATTTTTTTGTATTTTGAGTAGAGACAGGGGTCTCACCATGTTGGGCAGGCTGGTCTCAAACTCCTGACCTCAAGTGATCCCCCTGGCTCAGGCTCCCAAAGTGCTGGGATTACAGGTGTGAGCCAGCGCGCCCGGCCCACAGCTACTCTTCTATGCAGGAGCCTCTGGGGTCCCTCAAGCCTCTGGGTGTCTGAACTTCTTAGCCTATTTGGATCTTAAGTCCTTATTCATTCTTGGTCACTGATGCCATCTGCCCGTAGCACTGCTTCTTGAAGATTTTCGTGCGATTCCTCAAAGATTTGAATAGTTGCTGGTGTCAACAAAGTTAGAATGTAGGGGTGGAGTTTCCCCTTAATCTTCCATCACACCCATCATTGACATCCACAAACATTATATAGTGAAACCGACAGTCCTGAACAGCATTCGGATCTCAAGACTTTAAATGAGCAGCTTGCTTGCTGTGGGGTTTTGGGCAGCGCGTGGAAGGTAGTTGCCTCCCACCTGCTGGACGGACCTGTGGGAAATGCCGCCCAGGCTGGAATAGTGCCACGATCTCGGCTCACTGCAACCTCCACCTCCCGTGTTCTCCTGCCTCAGGCTCCTGAGTAGCTGGGATTACAGACATGCACCACCATGCCAGACTAATTTTTGTTTTATTTTAGTAGAGATGGAGTTTCGCCATCTTGGTCAGGCTGGTCTCAAACTCCTGACCTCAGGTGATCTGCCCGCCTTGGCCTCCCAAAGTGCTGGGGTTACAGGCGTGAGCCACTGCGCCTGGCTGATGTTTGGTTCATTGAATGGCAGTGTTGAATGGTGACCAAATGGACAGACGAACACATTCAGGGAGATGCCTATAAAAGACCTCCAGTTAGAAGCATGTGGGAAAAAAGCAAACAGCAAACTCTTCTTCCCTCTTGCTTCTTTTACAAATAGCGGAGAGGTTAAAACAGTAGGGATACAATGGAAGGGAGTTTGTGTTTGCTTTTCAAAGACATATGGTTTTGCTTTTTTTCTGAAACTGTGCAAGTCACAGCATGATATTCGACCAGGAGGTCATGAAGGCTTGTTTACCAGAACAGGGTGTGTAATATTCTAGATGTTTTATCTCAAACTCTCCAGCTGTTTTTTTTTTTTTTTTTTTTGAGACGGAGTCTCCCTCTGTCACCCAGGCTGGAGTGCAGTGGTGCGATCTTGGCTCAGTGCAACCTCCATCTTCTGGGTTCAAGCAATTCTACTGCCACCACCTCCTGAGTAGCTGGAATTACAGGTGCACATCACCACACCTGGCTAATTTTTGTATTTTTAGTGGAAACGGGGTTTTGACATGTTGACCACATGTTGAACTCCTGACCTCAGGTGATCCACCCACCTTGGCTTCCCAAAGTGCTGGGATTATAGGCATGAGTCACCGTGCCCAGCCTCTGGCTATTTTTCAGAATCCCAGACTATTGTTGAACACTTGGCATTAAACTACAAAATCTCTGATGGATGATTCTCTGAAAATCTTTGGGTCAGCCCAAATTGGATTCACAAGTTGCAAAGGATTTTTATTACCTTGTGCATGGGATTCATAGGAACTTTTGAGATCTTGTAATGCTATTTCATATTCACAGTCTGTATTAGGCCGTTTTCATACTGCTATAAAGAACTGCCTAAGATTGGGTAATTTATGAAGGCAAGAGGTTTACCGGACTCACAGCTCAGCATGGCTGGGAGGCCTCAGGAAACTTACAGTCATGGCGGAAGGGAAAGGGGGTGGAAGGCACCTTCTTCACACAGCAGCAGGAAGGAGAATGAACACAGGAGGAACTGCCAAACACAAAACCATCAGATCTCCTGTGAACTCACTTGTTACCATGAGAACAGCATGGGGGAACCTCTGCCACGATTCACTGACCTCCACCTGGTCTCTGCCTTGACACGTGGAGGTCATGAGAGATTTCAATTCAAGATGAGATTTGGGTGGGGACACAGAGCCTCACCATATCACATTCTAGGACACACAAACTTGGGAAAGCATTCAGGAGGCTTAGCAGACTTGATTTTGTGAAAAATTTAGAAATAGAGTTGGGAAAACGAAAAACAATTTGTCTTCACCTTATCCACCCCCAACCGCCATCCCTGGGTGCCGATCTTGGGTGGAAGCATTACCTTTCTTCATTTGTTGCAGGAGCTGGGGCAGGCACAAAACATGAAAGCTCTCACTGGGTGGGAACAGTTTCCCTAGATTTTCCAAGAACTAAAGCAAATGTAATCCCAGCACTTTGGGAGGCCAAGGAAGGAGGATTGCTTGAGCGCCCAGGAGTTGAAGATCAGCCTGGGTGACATAGTGAAACCTCATCTCTACAAAAAATGTAAAAAATTAGCTGGGAGTGCTTGTGTGTGCTTGCGGTCCAAACTACTCAAGAGACCGAGACGGGAGGATTGCTTGAGCCCAGGAATTGGAGGCTGCACTGATCCATGATTGCACCACTGCACTCCAGCTTGGGCGACAGACGGAGACCCTGTCTCTAGATATAAAAATACCTATATCTATACCTATACCTATATAGATATATATATTTTTAAGCATCCTTTCTGAAGAATTGGCTCAGGGTAGTCCAAGACTCACCTTATGCTGCTGAGACGCCAGGCTCATTTCCTTCTAATATTTTCCCTAAGTCTTTTATTCTGATGCCAAATTAACAGAAGATCCAACTTTTCAATTCCTGGTTTGCTTTCTACTTGTCCTGGGATGGATTTTCTCGGCCTTTTGTAAATGTACAAAACAAAAGGCCAAAAAGAAAATGAAAAAGCATAACAAGAGAAGCAAGTTTGGTGCTTCAGACTTCTGTGATTAGGCCCTTTGGTCTTACTGTACCATATCAAGTCCCGTATAATGGGAGATATGCCTCACGTTATGTCAGAAAGAAAACAAGGCGCAGTTCTAGAAATACCAGGACCCTACCTCAAAAGAGGATCTCCCCAACTGCTTCCACGCACATCTTGCTTTTTATACCTAAATTATAAGATGAGTTTAAACCGTGTCATCTCCGTGACACAGTTCCGTTAGTAGACATAGAATTGAGATGTTGGATCAGAGTATCTGGAAAACAAAAGATGTCAGAGTGCTCAGCCTCTGTGGCAGGGTTGCATTATGGGTTTCATTGCTGGGATGGTGATTTTGAGATGTGGCAGCCCCGCAGGTTCAAGGGGAGCTTGGAGATGTCATAAGACGGATGTGAGTATAGCATGCCCCGGTCCTTCAAGAAACCAGGCACAGTTTTGGGGATACCCTTATTCTACAAGACAGGTCCATCTTCCCAGACTGTGTCATTGGATTGAAATTTGTGCTGTTTGTTGAATTTTCATTAAAATGATTCTCAGGCAAGCGGGTAGATATCTTGAGTCTTCTGTATCTTTCCAAGGAGGAGATGCCTTCATCGAATATTGTGTCTTGATAATAGATTTACTGAGAAGCTTTGCAGTGTTCAGTTTTGGGGCACGCAGATGAGAAACACCCACACCTTGTGGAATCACATGCCTCTCTCTGTTATAGATTGGTGTAAAAGTAACTGCTGTTTATGACATTAAAAGTAATAGCAACATAGCAAGACCCGTATCTACAAAAAATGTAAAAAAGTTATCTGAGTGTGGTGGCTCCCTGCTAATTTTTTTACAGTTTTTTTGTAGCGACAGTCTTGCTATGTTGCCATTACTTTTAATAGCAAAGACCACAGTTACTTTTGCGTAAATCTCCCTTCCTCCTTTACCAATCTGAGTTTGTGGTGCTGGGGCTTCTCCTGGTCTTTGCCCACGTGATAGGGAGGGGCCTATTTAAGCTGCTTCTCCCGTGCACTCCGGGTTTGCGACTGTGCGTCTGGGTGTGTTGGCTGCACCCAGGACCTGGCTCAGGCCACTAACCGCATGGAGCCCGACTGCTTCCCACAAGGCCCAGCTTCCCACGGTTGGCACGGAGTGTTGAGGACGCTGTGCGTTGAGCATGCTGGCTGGTTCTCCTGCTCCGTTTACCAGGGTCCCCAGCTCACAGTGGGTCTCTTCAGGCTTTGGCAAGGTGGG